ACTGTTGTTTAATAAACACTACAAATTATGAAAACTACAACACTAAAAGGTAGAGCCATTTTAATTTATGTCATGCAATTTACAACTATTTAGTTACAATCATGATTCCAAAGGTGAAAATTTTACATTCAAATTTGAAATAACTATTTATAGTGGAACATAAGGAATAATTATTTATATGTGGAACATAAGAAATAGTGCGGAGGACCACAGGGAAACGGAGGGAAAACTGAATGGGAAGAAATCAGAGAGGGAGACAAACCAGGAGAGAGACTGAACTCTGGGAACCAAACTGAGGGTTACAGAAGGGAGAGGGTGAGAGGATGGGGTAGCCGGGTGATGGGTATTAAGGGGGGGCATGTGTGGTGATGAACACTGGGTGTTATATGCTACTAATGAATTGAACACTACATCAAAAACTAATGATGTACTATATGCTGGCTAATTGAACATAATAAGTTTTAAAAAAGATGTATGGTACTAATGATTTGGGTCACATTTTCATGTTTAATTGAAATGAAATTCAAATTTTAATCACTCTATCTCATTGCACTGGCCTGTATACCTTTCAGATCTGGCACACTGGGTCTATGCTAGTTGTAGGGAAAGCATACCCATCTGAAACAACTTCAAAGTAACTTATTATTAAATAGGATTTAGGAAGACTAGAGTCTACTTTAGTAAGTTTTCAACTGCAGTGACATTTTGAAGGGAGGAATCATGTATATGTTAGGTTTAGGATTTTGGGTTTCTTGTTGGAGCTTTGTTGTGAGGCATTCCAATTAAACAATTATTTAAGTATGTTATCAGTTAAAGTATTATTTTATAGACCTGACAGCCTTCTTAATTTTATGTCTTTAGAGTTCACTGCACCCAAGAGGAAAAGAAAATACAGAACAAAGAACCCAGTGAAGAAGTCTTAATTTTGACATCTCCGATAAAAGAAAAGATTTATATTTTGGATATTGAACAGGAAGACTGCCAGTATTAAAAATAATTCTTCTGGGAAACTATAGGTTATTTCTCTGAAATGGCAATATCTTAACATTGCTCTAGAGTTATAAGGGAACAAAAAATTAGAAATAAGAATTCAAAATTTAATTTTAGAATTTCCTTTTATGAAACCTGCATAAATGGAAATAAAATTTGGATTTAGAATGTAATAGAAATAATCCTGTTATTTGCAGATTATTATTGTTTCCTATAATTTTTTTGTGATGTTATACCTCTTACAGTTCTGATAATATTAACTATTTAAGATATTCTTGAAGTAATAATGTTTATTACATGTAAGTGGATTATTAAATTTATAGTATGGTAATGGATTCATTTATGATATGTATTAACTATTTTATATATTGTATGGTTAAGTGCAATACAATTTTTGCCTTATTTGCTTTATTTTTGAACATATGAAACTATGTGGTCAGTAACTTATACGATTGATATTTAGGAAGCCCAGTTTCTACTTCTGCAATCAATTAAATAGTCTGGTGCTTGTTTTAAAGCTCCCTTTGGCCTGACATTATGTATGTATATGTGTATATGTATGTATAGATATATGTTTGCATGTGCCATATATATACATATATGATCAGCTCAGTACATTGTTTAAATACATTTAAATACTAATTATTTTTATTTTTTAAAAAGATTTATTTATTTTTAGGGAGAGAGCATGCATGTGTGTGCGCACACATCTGTGTGTGTGCACACATTTGTGGCTAGTGGGGCAGAGGGAGAGGGAGGGAGAATCCTCAAGAGTTGGCCGTTTAACTGACTGAGCCACTCAGGCACCCCTAAATACTAAATACTAATTATTTCTAATAAAACCTTTAAGAGTGATAATGTAAATTCCAGAATGTGTCTATGGTACAGAATAGATGATACTCACGGAAAAAAGATTTCTAAACTTTGTGGACATGCCTCTGTTAATTTTTCGCTTAAGACATTTAAATGGAGATCACTTAAGCCATGTTGTTTGAATTGCTGCCACTAACGGACCATCCCCACACCATGTGGTTGGCTCAGCCTGTCTTTTTTTTTTTTTTTTTAATAATTTTTTTTTATTTGACAGAGATCACAAGTAGGCAGAGAGGCAGACAGAGACACAGAGAGGAGGAAGCAGGCTCCCTGCTGAGCAGAGAGCCCGATGCGGGACTCGATCCCAGGACCCTGAGATCATGACCTGAGCTGAAGTCAGAGGCTTAACCCACTGAGCCACCCAGGCTCCCTGGCTCAGCCTGTCTTATAGTTGATTATACTCCATGTTGTTTTCCAGCATTGTATATTCAGGAATTTTGCAAATGTCCTGTAAGTGAAAATGTGTGATATGTATAATCTTTTAAGTTAAAAATACTGATGCTAGCCCAAATAAACTTTCATTTATTAGAATGTATGCTATCGCATTAGCTACTAAACAAAATTATTTCCCCTGATTTCAGATGTTCCTGATAGTAGATGGGGCAGTTTTCATAATGTGGACATTGGACAGAGCTTCTGGGATTTAAACATACTAGTGTTGGGGCACTAGGAGGTATCATTGGCCTCTTGTGTACTAGGTTATTTGCTAGAACTTGTCTGATCATTAACATTTACAAACATTGTACAGCTGACACATTGAGTTTGCCCTCTGTTTTTTCATAATAATACTAAAAATATCATTTCATTTGTACAGTGAAGAAACTATCTTAAGATGGTAAGTGCCTTGCCCACATTCAGAGTTAGTAAGTGATGCATCTGGGATACAAATTTAGGGCTCTTGACTATAATTTCAGTGTCATTTTATATAAGCCAACAGAAATGGAAATACAGAGGAGTACTTCTTACTTGAAGCAGTAAAACCCTATTTTGTAGTGACTTAGCAGTAAGGAAAGGTTAAAACCAGTTGAGTCTCAGTGCAGGGTGGTGCTCTGGGTTGTAAAATAGGTTGGTTCCATGATGGCTTCATGTATAGGTTTGGGTCTTCAGGAAAGCTTTATTTCAGTGTGGGGAACTGTTCACCAGTCAGGTTCTCAGACGTCAGCTAAGGGCTAGCCTTGCAAGCAGGCCTTTCTAAGGACTGCAATCTCTGGCCTATGCTGCTGCCTTTTCTCTACACTGTTTCATTTCATTTTTCACTGTTTCAAATAATGCTGTGTTGATTTTTTTTTTAATTTTTTATTTTGGCTCACTTAGGTTGGTATTTCTGTTAGATAAATCTACATATGAATTTGCATGTCGGACAGTGTACATGTGTACATATACATATACATATAGAATTTTAATTATTGCCAAATCAAAAATACTGCCAGTTTACAGTCCTACTAACAGTATTTACAAGGGACTCTCCACATCTCCATTACACTTGTTACCAATCTGTAATTTTTCCAGTTAAACGTAACCTGAATCTTAACAGCAGAAATGGTAGACAGTTAAGAGTAACAAAAAATTTTTTAAGGTTTTATTTATTTGACAGAGCCCACAAGCAGGGTGAGTGGCAGGGAGAAGCAGACTCCCTGCTTAGCAGGGAGTCCTGATATGGGTCTTGATCCCAGGACCCTGGGATCAATACCTGGGCAGAAAGAAGCCGCTTAACCAACTGCGACACCCAGGCACCCCAAGAGTAACAAAATTGTATTAAACAGCTGTGAGTTGTGAAATTGAAGCTTATTAAATAGAATTCAGATAGAAGATATTTGTGTTTAACAGTGGGCTTTCAGAATTAAACCATGGGGTCATAATACTAGCTACCTATTAAATTAAGCTATTTTTATTGTCATCCTGATTGTAATAAAATAACTGTACCAAGTCATAAATACATAATTTTAATATTAAGCAGTGACTAAATTAGTGTTTTGTGAAGAAAATTAGTTATGTGTCAGTGTTTGTAGCCACAAGATGTATTTTAAAACCCTTCCACTTTCAGACATCTTAATATAGGAACGTACTGTTCAAAGTAGAGACTTGGAATCATAGTAGTTTTAATGTTACATGCCAGGTTTACTTGGAGTATCTAAAGCCATGAATGAAAAAAGCAGAACCATAAAGGAAATGGAGGTTGTACACATTCTGATAGGGAAATATTTTTCACTTTGGGGATGAAGTATTGTGATTTATGTCTTAAGAAAGCTACTCTGGAAACGTGCAGTTCTCTATGAGAAATTATAGCGCGTTTGTTTTCTTTTCTGGTATTCTTGAGTTTATGTTGTAAGCAGACCTATGATCCCATTTGGGTTTATAACCCCTTCTTAATGCCTCAGAGGTCTGTGAGTGGATATATTTATTGTGGAGAAACACCCCCAATCTCTTTAATACCCAATTAAAGTGCTTATTCCCTGAAGCACACAGTTGTACCATCTGCAAGCTATTTTCTACTGCCAAAGGAGAAGTAATGAACCAACTTTCGGCAAAGACTTTGTCTTTTTAACAGATTCCCAGAACAGTGGTATAATAGGGAAATTATGAAAAATGCATTTATCTAGATGATTTGACTAACCGTAATTTTCCTAACCTAGAAAGTAGAAAGTCAAATATTTGTATCCTAGTTCTGCACTGATTCATTATATACCCTTCAAAAATTCCTTTTTGGGGCTGCCTGGGTGGCTCAGTGGGTTAAAAGCCTCTGCCTTCAGCTCAGGTCATGATCTCAGGGTCCTGGGATCGAGTCCCACATCGGGCTCTCTGCTAGGCAGGAAGCCTGCTTCCTCCTCTCTCTCTCTCTCTACTTGTGATCTCTCTCTGTCAAATAAAATCTTTAAAAAAAATTCCTTTTTGTTTAAATCCTTTTCTCAGCTATAAATTCAAGATAATGTAGAACTACCTTAGAGACTTGTCACAAATATCTAGAACTGCATAGTGCTTTGAAAGTGCACAGGACGCCTGGGTGGCTCAGTTGGTTGGACAACTGCCTTTGGCTCAGGTCATGATCCCAGAGTCCCAGGATCGAGTCCCGCATCAGGCTCCCAGCTCCACGGGAAGTCTGCTTCTCGCTCTGACCTCCTTGCTCATGCTCTCTCTCACTGTCTCTCTCTCATATGAATAAATAAAATCTTAAAATTAAAAAAAAAAATAAAGTGCAAAGATACGAAATTCTTAACTTCAAAATAATAACTACTGGAAGTAGGGGCGCCTGGTGGCTCAGTGGGTTAAAGCCTCTGCCTCTGGCTCAGGTCATGATCCCAGGGTCCCGGGATCAAGCCCTTCATCAGGCTCTCTGCTTAGCAGAGAGCCTGCTTCCCTTCCTCTCTCTCTGCCTGCCTCTGCCTACTTGTGATCTCTGTCAAATTAAAAAAAAAAAAATTACTGGAAGATTTTTTTTTTTTAAGATTTTATTTATTTGAGAGAGAGAGCATGAGAGGGGAATAAGTTAGAGGAAGAAGCAGACTCCTTGTGGAGTGGAGAAGCCCGATGCAGGACTGGATCCTGGGACTCCGGGATATGACCTGAGCCGAAGGCAGTTGCTTAACTGAGCCAACCAGGCGCCCTGGTAGTATAAGATTTTAAAAAATACTTGGATGCCAAGGAAGCCAGAGTGATTATTAGTGTTTAATGTGACTTTTTTTTTTTCCTTAGAGATTTTATTTATTTATTTCAGAGAGAGGGAAACAGAGCAAGCCAGAGGAGGGGCAGAGAGAGGGGGGGAAGCAGACTCTCTGCTGAACAAGGTGAGTGCTGGGCTTGAACCCAGGACCCTGGGATCATGACCTGAGCCGAAGGCAGATACTTAAGTGACTGAGCCACCAAGGCGTCCCCGCTTAGTGTTTTTTTTTTTTTTTTAAAGATTTTATTTATTTATTTGACAGACAGAGATCACAGGTAGGCAGAGAGGCAGACAGAGAGAGAGGAAGGGAAGCAGGCTCCCTGCTGAGCAGAGAGCCCGATGCGGGACTCGATCCCAGGACCCTGAGATCATGACCTGAGCCGAAGGCAGCGGCTTAACCCACTGAGCCACCCAGGCGCCCGCTTAGTGTTATTTTTGATGCAGATTTTTTTAAGTCAATAATCAGAAGCTTATGTGTTTACACGGATTTTCAGATTGACAAGAGCTCTCATAATTCAATCAACAACTTAAGAAGCTCCTGGTTTCCTTTATTCACATTACATTAGGTACAATATAGATCATCTTCCTAATAACCTATTTTGGTTGTGACGAAAAGATTCACAAATACATAGATAAAATACTGTTAATTGAGGTATATTTAAAAATGAAATTAATGAGCTGAAATTTGCTTTCACGTAAAGAGCCTAGGAAAATAAGCAGAGTTGTTAATGCCTTCCTAACTTCCCCTTGATTCTTGAATTAAATTACAATTTGAAGAATGCTTGCTTTTTAAATGGAATCGAGAAAACTGTGGGTGCTTAACTATTCACATTTTCATTTATCTTCTGAATAGCTATGTAGTAATTTTCATTGCACATTTTAGAAATTCCCTGTATTAAAGTAAATGCCAAAACCTCAGACCGTATAGCCCTTTCTCGTGTGGTAATATTTTTTTTTTAAAGCCTGAATTATTTGGTTTAATGTGCTGTATATTGCAGGTCTGAATTTTTTTTTTTTTTAAGATAAATTTGGACAGGCTCCTTTTGGTTGCAAGGAACAAAGGCAACATTCGTATTATCTTAAATGCTGGAGGCTTATTTTCAGATTACAGAGGACAGTCATCTCC